TTTTTTTTGGTCCACTGTATAAAGACACAAACTCAATGCTATTTCTGACATTTGAATTGAAAAACATCTTCAAACTTGGAAACAAAGTCCAGTGGATTACTTTTTACGGTAACCTTTTTTGAAATGTGATTTATATTTGTAGTATTGCATAATATGTAATGATGCAGCCTAATAAAATGGACAATTGCTTCAAAATTAAAACATTTAGTGAAAAACTGCATTTGGATAACAGCTGACTGATTGAGCAAGACTTCTGCATCAAGTCTCAATCACTCGTAAAAATTTGTTAGTACTTTAGATTAGAAATATAGAATTTTATACCAGATCATTCATACAAGCCATTTACATCTCATCTTTACATCTCATAAGAGGTTAACGACTCAAACCAAGATGAGGCACAGAAGCAGGACGTCCCGATCCAAAAAGAAAAAGAAAAGGCCAGACACTGAGATTTTATATTTTATTGCATCTTAGGAGAACACAAGAACTTCAGCTTTCATTGAAGCAAATGGAGTGAAGTTGTGACAGGGAGCTAAATATTTACCAAAATAAAAGTCATCAACAGCAGGAAGCTCCTGCTCCTCATAAATATATCTGCATCTCTGCCAGTAGAAAAATACATAACCTATCAACATCTATTTAAAGCTCCAAACACTGAAAAATAAACATTCTGCTTGTTTACTGAACAGATTCTACATTGAATCTGTAAATCTTTGCAGATTTAGTTTCATAACAATTTCTCAAAAAAAAACCAAAAAAAAAATCCATCCAGATAATATGGATTTTACTCTCCTTGTAAAGCAGGAAGCAGCCATTTTCCTCTTAAGCTTTTAACGGTTCAGGAGTGTACTACGTGTCCCAGAATGCACTGGTCTAGGGGTGACAAAGGAAATCAAATATTTTTGTAAATTTGTTTGAATCTTGATCAGGAAAACAGCCAGAAGGTTTTTCACAGACGTTTTTTAAGCCCAAATTTCTCATTTCTCAACATTCTTTTGTTAAACTTTGAGCTTTAGAATAACAAAGCTCAGAAACATTCAGCAGCTGAGAAAGGTTTTCCTCAGTATTTGGTTTGCACATCAGCTTCAAATTCAGTAAAAAGGCTTAAAGTAGAGAAAACTAACAGAAAATGACGACACGAAAACTTTTTGGATAAACAAAAACCAAATAACTTTTTTTAAATTAACAGCAAATTGTTCGGTTTTGTGAGTTTTTTCCACAGAAATTTGTTTAAGGTTGTTTAAAAAAAAAATTTAACCTGAAAAATAAATAAAAGCTAATAATTTACAAAAAGACATTTAAGTTTTTTTTTTTTTTTTTTTAAACACAAACCTAAACCTTAAATTTCCGTCTTTGAACTTATTGACTGGCGGTTCCTTCGGCCTGACGGGGGATCTTTGCATCAACGCCGTAGCTCAGACTCTACAGGTGGTCTTCTTTGAATGAATGAGTTCAGCTAAGTGAAGCAGCTGCAACACTGACAGGAAATGAAGTCGCCACAGGAAGTCGGAGGCAGGGTTAGACAAAGCGTCGGATCAGGTGGTTCTTGTCGGGTTCAAGGAACTCGTCCAGCAGGGCGCCCGTCACTTTCTGGAGCTCCTCCTCCAGCCGCGACACGTCGCTGCAGGACAGAGACAGAGCAGTGATGTCATAGAGAACCCCCACTACCATGATGTCATACGCCTCCTCTGCTGACCTTTCTCCTGGTGCGGCGCAGAATTCGGTGTAATACTTGATCTTTGGTTCGGTACCGCTCGTCCGAAGAGTCGCCACAACGCCGTTCTGCAGAGTGAAGGTGATCATCTGACTGCTCTTGGACACAGGAAGCACCTGTAGGGGGAACGCCAACAGTTACAGGGAACTCCTTCCTGTTTCAGGTTAACTTGATCTGAGGTCAGAACAAGCTTGGATCAAAACCAAAACCCTCTTAAACTGAACCATTAACTAAAGGTAGGGCTTAACTAAAGCCTTTGAATTTACTTTTTTATTCATTCTGTTGTTTGTTTG